AGGTTACATCCCATATGTTTTCTAATGTAAGTTTCAACATTTCTCTTATTTTTGTAAAGGAAAACAGAAAGAAAAAAACAAAACAAAACAAGCAACTTATTTCCTCAGAAGATTATTTTAAAACTAAAGAAAAAGTGGAGATAGAGAAGATTTTAAGTTCAGGCTTAAAAGCGTAAGCCTTTTGTTGTGGAGCAAGACAGGTCACTCTTCAAAAGTCAGGGACATATTCAGGTCAAGACTATTATAAGACTATAAAAAGCAGATAGTTTCTAATATCTACCACGGCATGTGTAACCAAGGCAGTGACAAAATATTTTTTCATTTCCGAATGAGAAAGTCTGGAATTTCATTAACAACCAACACACAAGAATTACTGAAGAGGCAGTTTGCCCTTAGTGGCTAGTTGAAAAAGAGAGGGGAAAAAAAGACAACAGTGAGGTGCAATGATTAATGAATTTATTTACTTTTAACTAAAAAAAAATCTCTTTCAGCAGTCTTCGCAGCAGCACTGTTTCCTTTGCATTTGGTATTTCTGGCTCCAGCTGAAAGGAAGATGCTGAAATAGCATCTTCATTGCTGGCAAGCAGTTAAGCAAACACAAAGGCCATTGAGAGCCGGGGGATCACAGCACCCCATCAATCTGCATATTCGTACATTGGCTGTTGTGACACAACTGCACACAATTATGAAAATCCTCATGTGCTGACTGGAGAACGATTGCTGTCAGAGGACAGGGCTGAGTACTCACTGTGCCGAAGAACCATATAGAAAAATGCAGCTCAGAACCCTCTAGCCAAGGTGCTTTCAAGAAATTTAACAAAATTACTTGCATCACACAGTAGAGCAATTCTCTTGTAAAAAAAATTTCAGATCATTGATTTTAATGCCATTTATAACTATCTCTACATTAATCAACTCATATTGTAAAATACATACCTGCCAAACAGCAAGACTCAATACCACGATGTCACATTACTGTAATCATAATGTTCATATAGATAATGTGCACACTATGGTTGCCATAGGAACCCTTCAATGCTATCAGTGCTATTTTGTGAGTTCTCAGTTTATAATCTCAAAATAACACTGCACCAAATGTTAAGTATAAAGTACAATAAATGTCAGGGAAAAAAAAAAATCTGTTTCATTCAGTACCAATTACTGTCAATTCAGAACCGTTTGCTTAATTTTCATGGTCTCAAGTCATTCAGAGCTTCTTTTTTCCTTTGGGAGTTGTTCCATACCTTGATAAAACTGATATGATTGAGTCTCTAGGACTTCTTATAAATGCAGAGACATGAATTAAAGGTTCACTTTCCATCACCCAAAGCTCCTCAACTCTTGCTTTCTAATATCCCTAAACCCTATCAACACAATTTTTGCTGTTAAATGCTTGACACTAAATATAACGTCCCAGATAGAGATATATCAAAATCACACTATGTTTTGGTTTAATGCAGCACAAAATTTATTGCAGCTGTTTCTAACAAGACATGATGCACTTGTGTTGCATCCCTACACCTCATCCCAAGCTATATTTAATACTGCATTTCTGATTTTTTTCTGTGTTTAATAAATCTGCATTTTCCAGGATAAATCTCAATTTCTTTGTTTTTATTTGCTATGTTGTGCTTTTTCACCTGTTCATCTTTGGTTTATAATTTTATTTCATTCAGATCTTGTCAATATACATCTTCAGATCCTATGAATACTTGATGAATGAAAGCAAGAATGTTGCTATTTCCACCTCCTTTTTTCACAGCATGCAAGATAAAACTTTGACTTTCTATGTTGATTGGAAGTATAGATATTTAAATTCCATCTATAGTAAGTCATGTCTTTTGAACTGGGTGGGGCACAGAATTATTACATCTCTTTTACATCTCCTGAGATCAACACTTGGACATAGTTCAAGTTACAAGTGAAATGAGTTGGGTGGTCTCAGGAAAATTTATTATAAACAGCATTGCTCATCCGAAAATTGCACCAAACTGTGAACATCTGTTACTCTTCTAAAGAAATAGAATCTGGAGTACATTAATACTGGGCTCAGTGAAAGAAAGATTCTTTAATCATGGCAAAAAAGCAGCTCTAACATAACAGTTTAAATGCATAACTATAAATTATGAAATATGGACACCAGGTCATTATCACACACCTAGTTACTATAGTCTGCAGAGTTCATATGGAATTTCTTCAAAAAAATGTGACTAAATCTTTCTCCCAAAATTCATCAGGGAAACTCTTAACAAAGAAGGATGTGACCATCAGGCCTGTTCTACTTTGCTTTCTGCCACTTGGGTGATACAGCAGATCCCCCAACCTGAGGATTCCCATGAGGACAGCTCTCTTACTTCGCACCATAATCCCATCTCCTACCACTGGGTTTTCCAGGAAGGTTTTGATCAAAAAGAAGTGATTGACAGACCATCACTTTCAGTTGTCCCTTGGAACCTTAAGCCGTTGAACAAAGGGTATCTCTAAGGCTTCCCTTATCCTTCCCTAATGGCTAAGTGAAATGGTTAGGACAGAATTACTGCCTGTAAAGTTTCTGACATACCCACAATTGGCAGAGTTTGAAAAACAAGAGTCAAGCACCACTTCACCGATAGGTTTGGTGTGACATGTCTGCTAAAGCACAGTTCAGTCTCCACATTCACTTTGGCCTCACCTTTTTATTTCCGTTAAGGCTGTCATTAACTGCACGTGATCTATGCTGCTTCTGTTCTCATACGGTGACCCATGACCTTGAAATGTCTTCATTAAAGACAGGATTACTCTGTTCCTAATTCAGGTATCTGAAAGTTAAGACATCTAAATCTACACATCCTGGGCTCCCTTCATAATCAATGGAGAAAACAAGATTGATCACGTAAATCATCTATTTCACCGTATGGGAAATCTAGAGCAAATAACTTACACCTAGACATCTAACTGTAAGAAATCTGAAGTTAGGTGTGATGAATCCCAGCTTAAGAGATGAGATCAGTATTTTCTTCCTGAAAACCTCACTGAGCACTCCGAAAGAAATTATTTTCAACCGCATTTACCACAGGCACATAAGAAGCAATGATCTGGACTATTTTCCATTAGTAACATCCTGAACTACCCACACAGGCTCTGTCTCACACAAGCATTTAACACAATTCTCCTTGGTACCACCCCAGGATAATTTGCCTGCATGTTTACTCAAAGGTTTCATTTTAATCTAGGTGAAATAT